ACCACTCTTTTTTTCACAGCTCCCTATTGGGATCCTTTTACACAATCATCAGGAATCTCTGGTAAGTAGCAGCAGACAAGTTGAGGTCACTTGGTCTCCAGTACTGGAAGGTTTTGAAAAAAGGCGGGGCTTTGGGAGGATGGCGAAATTCGCCATCACGCCATGGAAATACGTTTGCCTCTCATTTCTTCATTTATAGTGATATCACCTCGAAATTTGTTCTGAGTGATCCTAGTTTGACCCCCAATAGAAATGAATGGCTGAAGTTTGTGGGCGTGGCCTATTTTCTGAAATAGCGCCCCCTATGTCCATTAAAACCTTCAGCCCCAAGCCAGGCTTTGACTGAGGATGGCAAAATTTGGTACACTAATGTGGTGTCTCAGGACCTACAAAAAAGTCTCTTGGAGCCAAGTGCAAAGTTGAACAGGAAGTCGGCCATTTTGGTCCAAGTACTCGATTTAGTGGTTTTCACACACGCTGTTTGGACAATGATACCCCGTCGCCCTTTTCACCGATCACCTTCAACCTTCTGTTATATTTTCTTAAGACAAAGGGGAAAAAATTCAACCGTCGGATTTTAAATAAGTATAATGTTGTGGACGTGGCTAAGCCTCAAACTTTGACCTTTCGCCATTACATTACTTGACTTAACAACTCCAATGTGCATGATCAAATCTATATCAAACTTTGTCTGTGTGATCAATGACCACATCTCAAGACGTCATTGTGGACAGGTGACATCACCTAAGCCCCGCCCCCTGACAACAGGAAGTCTATTGTTTTATGGTGAAATGCCCATATTTGTCCCCTCTAATTTAGTCAACATGACACTAAGGACAGGCACTGTCTTCATGATGTTGCAATGGCCATTCAGATCTGATAGCTTTCCAGATAGGGAGCGGCTTTGATGCCATGGCGATTTCTGGCATGACGCCATGACCTTACGTTTGATCGTAACTTCCACAAACAGCCTCCCATCTGCACGAGACTGAACATGGCAATCAACAATCATGCCCTTTAGCCAATGAGATACAAATGGTTGGTGAAATTCATATAATAACACCACAGCGCCCCCTACACACCATTAAAACTGTAATAACTCCTACAGACGAGGTCGTAACTTCACCAAAAACTGTGAGTGCTCAGAGGGGATGCTCAGTCAGGGTGAGGTGCGGACGAGGTGACGATTAGCTGTTTCTGGTGTCGGGGTGGTCAACATTTCTTTTCCGCAGACGTGCCCTGGTGCCCCGGGCTGCCGGCCAGGCCGGAGCGGCGCGGAGCTGCGAGGGCCGAACGACGCTGCTTGCAGCTTTAATTCTCATTATTTTTCTCTTATTGAAATATAAATACTTTGGTCAACTTGAGCTGTTTTAAATATGCACGGTGACATGTTCTTAAAGTATTACTGAATATTTTCTATCAAATATGTAATAGTTTCTGACTGATACCATAATCAGCAGACCTCACTGACTGAATTGGTTTCTTGGAAAATCTAATACCAACTCAGAGCGAATTTCAGTATCTTCTTTATCCCTTAGGCAAAGTGGTAGCGCAGTAGCCCAGAAACAAGCACTTTTTGGTTTCAGTTTCTTTAAATGAAACAGAGACCCTAACCCCGAAGAGACCTGTAAAACAAGCGGTATTAGCAGAATGGAAAGAATCAATCTGATCTTTGACAGTGGATGGATCCTGATTGTCTCTGGATACGGTTACAGATTTAGCTTCACCCAGTCTGTGTGTCACGAGTCGTGAGGATGGACTACAGTATGATATTCATGTCCTGCCATGAGTCTAGTTCTTATGTTCATGTGTCAAATGCACTTATCAGGGGTCACAAATTCATCAGTGAATCAGAAACTCTGACACCGAGCCTTCATTAGTTGCCAGTAATTCTGGTCCCAACAGCAGCACAACGGGGAAGGAAAGCTGGTTCTGGTTTAGAACTAAGAGGCTGAGAGGGAAAGGGAAGGAAAAGGCCAGGGAATGCTGTCAGAGGAAAATTTAGATGCGTTTTGTCAGCCTAAACTCTGGATCCAAGCCTGGTGAGTTAAATATGACCTGTCAGAGGGTTTACTGTGTTTTTGTCTTCGTGTGACCTTGTTATGATTTCCATAACTTTAGATTTTATGTTAAGATTTCTTTCATTTCTAATGTTTCTTATTTTTATTTAATCTCTTTGGTTGCATCCCAGATTGCTTTTCCGTGAGGATTATTTTCTGCTCTGTGTGTGTGAGCGTTTGTTTTGCTTTGTTCACGGGGCTGGCTGCCTGTGTAGTGACTTTATTTTATTGTTTAAACTTAAAATCTTTAAAATGGTCCACCAGTCTTCTGGATCGTTTTCACAATCCTATCACACACTTTTTATGGCATTAACATTTGTTTTCTGTCCCACTGGTGTACGAATAGAGCCGTTTGTTCCTGAAAGCAGAACATCGTGTCTCTGGTTATGTGAGATATTTGCTCACGGAAAAGATCATCAGACTGCCAGAAAGTCTTATTTTCTTTTGAAAAGTAAATTAAAATCTGCTGAATGTGATCCTTGCATCGTCCGTGCAGCTCAGCTGATTCCTCACATCTGTTGAGGGTTTTTGAAACTGATTGCTTACAGTACGCATCAAACACCTCTCCCCTTCGTTCTGCGTGTCAGATGAATGTGTACTCCATCAGTGCAGTGATCCCTAAATGTAAGCACTCAAATCTAAAATCAGTGGATCGTTAATGAAACACAGAACATATTATTATGGAAGAGCGGCATGTCTCTTTGTTTTATGTAGTTCATTAGGATTCAGTGAAGTTTCCACAGGGCCTCTTCTCCACAGGCCAATGTCCTGTTTCCCGCAACACATTTACTAGCTTTCCCTTTGGATCTCTGGTCTGCAATTTACTTTTCTTTCTAAAAGCATTTTAGTTTCTGCATCTGCATCTTCAGCATATCTGAATTGCATCGAGCTACAAATCTCTCACTTCCTCCTGCTATCAAATAACTGGGAATCAATGTTTTATCGTTTGAATATTACAATGTTTTCTATTCTCATCGCAATGGCTTAAGAATATTCAGTGACTTGTTCGGTTTAGGTTTCTGTTACAGTGCACTGTAAATACTCATCAGTGACACAGGAAAGCCTGGTGAGCAGAGTGATTTGATAGAACAGAGCTGTCTGGAGCAGATAAAAGCAAAGAAAAACAGTCTTCCTCTCTCAGAACAGAGAAAATTTTGAGTTTGGTAGGCTGGGAATTGTTGAGTGGCTCAAGCTGGCTGGCACAGAGCTGCAGTAGAGGAATGAAAAGACCTACTTAGTGAGAAGTTATGATTTTCTCCTGCACCTGACTGGAACTGGTCAGGTGCAGGAGCAGGTGCAGTGGCACCAGACACACACACACACTCATGCACACACACACACACACACACACACACACACACACACACACACACACACACACACACACACACACACACACACACACACATACTCATATCTATGTGTGCAATGTAAGAGTTACACTAAAAAGAGGTGGGAGTAACAAAAATCTAAAAGGGTACACTCCAGATATATCATATGTCTTGAGCACAAAAACTATTTATATTCAGATGTGTTCTTTCTGGGCTGCACAGTGGTGCAGTGGTTAGTGCTGTTGCCTTGCAGCAAGAAGGTCCTGGGTTGAAATTCCAGCCGGGGGTCTTTCTGCATGGAGTTTGCATGTTCTCCCTGTGCATGTGTGTGTGTTCTCTGCAGGTACTCCAGCTTCCTCCCACAGTCAAAAAGCATTATTGTCGGGTTGACTGGTTTTTCTAAATTGTCCTTAGGTGTGTGTGTGTGTGTGTGTGTGTGTGTGTGTGCATGGTTGTTTGTCCTGTGTGTCTCCGTGTTGCCTTTTGATGAACTGGTAACCTGTCCAGGGTGTACCCCGCCTGCTTGCCCAGAGATTTCTGGAGATAAGCACCAGCCCCCCTGCGTGGATAAGCATGTTTAGAAAATGGATGGATGTGTTTTTCTTGCTTCAAGTCAAATTAAGTGTTTGACAGAGGAGACACAGTGGTAAAGACTTCAAGAGATAATTAGCAACATTTTCATATTTTTAAATAAATTTCTTGAACCAGTATGTGTTAAAATGACCCTTTACAAGGTTAATGAAAGGCCACCCAACCCCATCACCCCTGTGGTCAGAATATTCCACTGGCAGGCCACTCTGTTGGGACTTAGAAAAAATGTAGCTGACGTACCTGAAGCTGCAGTCTGATTCTAGCCTGTTAATTGCATATTTTAGGTCTTGAACACAGCTAATTTGTTTAATTTAGTGATTAATCTCTCCTGTGGACACCGAGGAAGACTGAGGAGACATTTCAGCTGTTAGATGAACACACAGCGAGGAGATAAGTTTTGCTTTCGGTTCTACAAATGGACACTAGGGGGTGCTCAAAGCAATCCAAAGCTGCCTAGTTCCCAATTAAAAGCTGCAATGGCAGGTTTGAAAGACCAATCTCTTACATAGCTCTAGCATGTTTCTCAAAAACCATATGCATTGAATCCTTTACACGCTACCTATAGGAGGCCCTCAGTACTGTGAGTGTTACCATTTTCATCCTTTTTAATCCGAACCCAACAGGAATCAGATCAATTTCCAGACAAAGGTTCAGCTCTGAGGTGTGTCTGTGCAGGAAGACTAACCTTTTCCTGAGTGATCTATGCCAGTAACCTTCTCTTTCACACAAACGCTTTCACTTTCTGCGTTTCATAAATCAAGCGAAACTTGTTTTCATGTTTGCTTTGGCACCATGTCTCAGCTAATCCATGTCTTACAATTGTCTCTTTAAACAATCTGAATAAAAACAAATTGACTAAGAATGCTGACAACCTTTGCAACAGAAATATTCTCGTGCTCTGCTCCAAACCAATAACTGAGTTGTCATACTCTTGGCTCAGCTCAGACGTCATCATTTTAACCCATTAATGCATGAGTTCCATTTTTAAAAACATCTGTTTCCTTTTGGTTCCCTGTAGGACAATGAAAGCGGGCGTGGGACTCCTCTCTTCATTGATTCTGTTCCTACTGATAGGGGCAGTGTTCACTCAGAGACCTCGGCCAAAGAAGCCCACCAGACGTCCAGCCACGACCAGGCGACCTTCAGTCCCCAAGCCTGTCACTCCAGCAGCACTAGAACCCCAGGAGCCCACAGACTTTCCCCCGCCCATCCTAGGCCCTCCTTCCTTCTTCCCCGACTGCCCCCGTGAATGCTTATGCCACCCAAGCTATCCAGAATCTCTCAACTGTGAGAACCGGAACCTCCGTGCAGTCCCAGTCATCCCACAGAGAGCACACTACCTGTACCTACAGAACAACTACATCTCAGAGTTGACTGCAGAGGCCTTCAACAACGCCACAGATGTCCGCTGGATCAATCTGGCAAACAACCGCATTCAGAAAATAGACAAACAGGTCCAAGAGCCTCCTCTCACATCACAGCTGGTGTAAAATACACCAAATATGTATTCTGGTCGTCTCCTCTGCAGGTTTTCCAGAAGATCCCAGCACTGCTGTATTTGTACATACAACGAAACCAGCTAAATGAAGTCCCATCAGGTCTCCCAACAAGTCTGGAGCAAATTCGCCTTGACAGGAATCGCATTTCAAAGATTCCTGCTGGTGCCTTCAACAAGCTGGAGAACCTGACTCTGCTCGACCTGCACTACAATCAGGTGAGCCTCACTGCAGCAGGAAAAGGGATGTTTCTGGAGCATATGTGAGAGTTTGATGTCTTCTCTGTCAGCTGAGTGACACTGCCCTGGGAAAGGGCACCTTCAAGGACCTGAAGAGCCTTATGCAGCTCAACTTGGCTCACAATGTTTTGAAGAAGATGCCATCTGGCGTACCGAGCAACCTCATTCAGCTTTTCCTGGACAAGAACCGCATAGAAGACATCCCAAAGCAAGTACACAGTGCACACACAGTCACATGGCTTAGAGGGAAATTAATGTCCAAGTACTGAACACAGGGGAAAACGGATGTGATGTGAACTTTTATATTTGGGTGTCTGCTTTGTGTGTTTTTATTCAGAGATTATTTTAAAGAATTCACTCATCTGGCATTTGTGAGGCTGAACTACAACCAGCTGAATGATAAAGGAGTTCCCAAGGCCGTGTTCAATGTGTCCAGCCTGCTGGACCTGCAGCTGGCCCACAACCAGCTCACAGTGGTTCCTCTCTTCAACACGCACCTGGAGCACCTGCATCTCAACCACAACAGCATTGAGAGTGAGTAAAAAAACACACTGACTGATTTCATCTCTTTGAGTTTCGGTGAATCAACAGCTTTTGCATTGCATATCTTAAATGTTCAGAGTTGAATTTGTCAGCTACTTTCTTGGCTTCCAGATGTTAAGATGTTTTTTTTTATTATTATTTTGAAAAAAGCTTGAAGGAGACAGGACTGAGTGGTTGCCAACTTTAGGAAATTTAAATAAAAAATGCTGGGGTGGGGGCTGTTCTCAGATGTCTTGGGTTAGGGTCAGCTGCGGTACACAGCAAGTTGTTCTCTCCAACCACCACCAACAGGCAAGGCAGGTAAAGTGTCTTGCCCAAAGACACAATAAGACAGAGTGAGTGGGTCATCGTATGGCAATTAGAAAGTGACAATTCTAACCCTGCATAGGCAAGCTGAACCTTCAGTATCCATCTGATTGTCTAAAAGTTTCAGTGGGATTTATACTGGTGCCCAAAAACCTGCAGCAAGATGGTGGGGGTGTCACAGAATGAGCGTCTGCCTGTGATGATGTAGCAGTGACGTGCCTTTTGAAAAGAGAGAAATGTACATTAGAAAATAAGTATGCTGTCACTATAACATCAGTTCAGCCCGTATGTAACGTAAGACAAGCACCATTGCTCCTCTCTTTTAAGACTCCTTTTTACCCCCAGCTTTAATGCATATGCCACGCTAACTGCCAGTTATGTTTCTTTCTACCCAGTTGACCACATAAATAATGTCTGAACGGTCTGAAACAAAAACGTCTCTGTCAACACGTGTGTCCAACTCCCCACCTGAGCTGATGGAGACATACAGTATAAATCAGGCTTAACTGCTGAATTATCTCCTCAGCATTCTTTGGGTTCTGCAGGAGCAGCTAATCACTCACTTTATCAGAGGTGTGGACTTGAGACACATGACTTGGACTCAAGTCATTATTTTAATGACGTCTGACTTGACTTGATAAAATCTATAAAGACTTACGACTTGACTCAGTCTTGAACGCCAATGACTTGCGACTTCACTCGGCTTGCATCTGTTGACTTGATGATGACTTGAGCGTATTTGATATTTTAGCATAAAAGTGGCACGACATGGACAAAAAATATGAATCATCCTTGGTTCTGGGTTTGATCTTGTTCTGCTAAATGCAGCAGCACTTTATTTATAATCAGTTTCAGTTTCTGCTTGTTTGAGCAAACAAATGAAGCTTTAAGAAGCTTTATTTCTGGAATTTATTTATTATCATCATCATTAAATTGAAGTTGGACAGATGACTTGATTATGACTTGAAAATTCAAAGTTAAGGACTTGGCCTTGACTTGGACTTCCACATCATTGGCTTTGGGCTCGACTTGGACTTGGTTGCCTTTGACTCGGACTTGACTTGAGACTTGACTGGAAAGACTTGTGACTTAACTGTAACTTGCAAAGCAGTGACTTGGTCACACCTCTGCACTTTATTCAAACCTGCAGTGTTCAAACAGGGAAACATTAAACGCTGGCAGGAAACTGGCACTCAGGATGGTTAATGCTACAATGGGCTAAACCAACAGTTCGATGTAGAGTAACGTTTAAGATGGATCAGATTTGCCTTTTTTACTTTTTTTTCTGAGCGACCTGTTATAAAGTATCTCTCCTGATCTTGCTTTACTGATAGACATCAACGGCACTGAGATCTGTCCATGTGAGACACAGGCCGACCTGGTTGATGACAGTCTGGTGCCGAGGCTAAGGTAATTCACAGTCTGTCACGCAAGGGAGCACATGATCTGGTACTGCAGCATGCTAGCATGACGAGGAGTTTTTAAAAGGCCGAGTCACCGTGACGACACATTAAAGCAGCCGTTTTGGTGTTTCAGGTACCTGCGTTTGGATGGGAACCACTTGCATCCTCCCATCCCTATGGATGTCATCATGTGCTTCAGGCACCTTCACTCCATTGTCATTTAAGGGCGTTCACCCATGAAACCCCATAGACGACTGCAGCACACATTGGAAGTTCAAGACAACACAGGCTCAGTGAAAGTTTCAAGCTTCACGCAAGCTGTGAAAGAGGGACTCCACACAATGTTTTTGTTTTTAATGAAAATCAAAAAGTTGAACTACAAATAGAAGAAAAGCAGAGGTTTGCATGAGTGTCATTTATCAGAAAATGACCAAAAAAATGTGTGTTTTCCAGCAGACGAAATGAGAGTTTAGGAGCTACCAGTGACAGACAGACCTGCACCTTCAAAGTTCTCAATGTAAAAGTAACATCTTTTTATTCTTGACAATCATAGTCTCATGAATATTATTCCTTTGTATAAAGACTCTTTGTACATTGATGGAAAATAAAATGTCTTCGGTCATTTGTTTATGTTTGATCTCTAATTTCTATTTTATTTATTTCATTTTCAGGTTTTAATTACAAAATCTCTGACCTCAAAGGTGCAGTATATTAGGACGTACATTTAGGGCATCCTCAGGTGTCTTGTCTCAGGTCTCAGGTGTCAGACTTCAGACCATGGAAAAAAAGCCTCACGTTATTGACCCTTTGCACCGATGTCACCCAATCACGTGGGTCCACCATGCTGGACGGCAAAAGCATGTAAACAGTGAGCGACACGAGTACTAAACAAAGGGAAAAGTAGAGCCTGAAATTGTTTTTGTGATCAAAACAAAAACAAAACTCCTCCAGCATTCCTTCAACTAGTTCATGCCCAGTTCAGTTAGCAGAAGAAGTAGCGCAGCAGGTGCTCATAGAGAGCGTTGTGTTAACTAGCTTACCAACGTTAGCTTACGTTCTCTCTGCAGCTGTTCACCGATGTAAACATGTTGCTGACTTTGCCTAAATTCACCCCTCTGGATTTATAACATTATGTTATAAACAGCTTTTCACTTTACACCAAAGCTGATTTTTAAAAAGTCCGGATTCCTACCAGCTTCAGCTGCTGGTGGTGTTACCGGGTTCAGCTGCTGCTCTCACACTGGAATGAGAAGATCTCTGAACGCCGACGCTCATATAAATAAATAACGTAATTTAAACACGTAATCATACATTGGAGCTTTAATATTAATTATTGTCTCGCTTTACACTACAGTGGACAGCGCGCAGCCTCCGTGGTGAAATACCCATCCATCAGGAATATCAATAACTAGTATAAACACATCACATGTTTCCCTGTCCCCGTCTTCCTCGTGAAATAAATGAATGTTAATCTTACCCGGTAAAAACATGTTCGCTGCAAATCTGAGGCCTGCTAGTCTGCTTGATTGATCGCTGCAGTTCATCTCCGTCCTCAGTCTCCATCAAAGTTGTTAAAAAAAGCAAAACTAGTTGACTTTACATCCTTGTCTGTTAGTGCAGCCAACCACGCAGCAAGCTAAAACCATTTTACTGTCAAATCAACTAAATAAAAGCTATAAAAGGCTACAAACTGGCTTGTTTTGACTAGCTTCACTGGAGTTTCTACGGGTGTAAACGGTCTTTTTGCCGTCCATCAGGGCGAAGGGGGCGGTCACATGAGTGGCGTGATGTCACGTGCAAAGAGCCAATAGGAAAAACTGCTTCAGGAGACATCCTCAGGTTTCAGGTTTCAGGTCACAGGTGTCAGATTTCAGACCATGGGGGGAAAAACCCTCAGGCTTCAGGACAAAAAGCTTCAGGAAAAAATGTCAAACCAAAAGGCTTCAGGAAAAAAACTGTCAGAAACAACACTCTGATAGAATTTACTAAACTAGGAGACTCCATCAAAGGGTGCCGTTGTCACATCGCAAAGTACTTGGCATGATGTCATCATATTGGGCTTCTAACTGCACTACAATAAGTTTAAATTATTCCGCCTTTTAACAGTATATTTGCTACAATAAATGTTATAATGAGTTGCAGCTTGGTTTCTGACACCTGAGACCTGAGGATGTCCTAAAAGTGTGGGATTGCTGTGTCTCTTGCGAGCTAATACTCCAGCACCAACAACTGTAATTTGACAATGGCCGGCAAAAAGCTGCAGAGATGTTTAAAGTGGTTGCAGTAACCAACTTTTACCACAGGATGTCATTTTTACTTAATTTCTGCATAAAGCACCTTTAAAGCTTCAATCTGTCGAAATAAGTTTTGGAAAGGTTGAAAACAGTTATCATCTTCTCTGTTTTTGCTCTTGGGACAACGTCAGTGTGTGGAAACAGATGTGGAGCTACAAGCTAGTGACAATTCAGCTACTGTTATGCTTCCTGGGGTGGGGGGAGGACAAGGACTGCCTGAGGTAAGGGTGGAAGCAGATGAGAAGGTGTGAAAGTGTGTGTGTGTGTGTGTGTGCGTGTGCGTGTGCGTGTGCGTGCGTGCGTGCGTGCGTGCGTGTGTGTGTGTGTGTGTGTGTGTGTGTGTGTGTGTGTGTGTGTGTGTGTGTGTGTGTGTGTGTGTGCGTGTGTGTGTGCGTGTGTGTGTGTGTGGTTAGAACAGGGATGTCCAAACTTGTCAAGACGAGGGCCAAAATCATGAAGTTAAAACTCCTCACGGGCCACAAAAATTACATTTTTTAAGGCCACTGAAAATAAAATAAATAATTCTGAGAAAAAAGTTCAGAATTCTCTTTTTCTTTTTAGTGGCCCTCTTCTGTACAAAAAGGTCTAAAATAGATATTGGTAAAAATTAGAACATAAAATATAATATATATGAATTCATATCAACAGAGAGACTTAACACCACAATTCTAAAAATGCTAGTGAGGGCCACATTGAACCACTCCAAGAGCCGCAAATGGCCCCCGGGCCGCACTTTGGACACACCTGGGTTAGAATGTTTCTAACTAGTGAATGTCTCTGGTCAGATTCTAAACCTCTGTCTAACATGACATTTTTACTCAGCTTGATAACAAATCACCTCTTTAAACAGTTGTTAACATTTGGTTTGTGTCAGAAAAAACTTATCAAACTGAAGTTTTTTTTTAAAGTTTGTTGCCAACATCATATTTAGCCAACATTTCATTAACTTTGGTCTCATAATCAGAAAATGTATTTTTAGAAGTGCCTGTTTTCTCTTTTGATGAGAATCAAAGTTTTTCTCAAACTGTGTTCCTGTTCAGAACGCTTCATGACGACCCCTGCTGGCCTTCAGTTATGTAATCAATACATTTACACCTCTGACTTGTGAAAGGGGCCTTCCCCCATGAGTTTAGCTTTTGTCCTTAAAGAAAGAAATTTGGGAATTTTGCATTAGTTGTAAGACTATTGTCCTTAAATGACTCAGTGACTCTCAGTGAACACAGATAATTCCTGTGTCAGGTGAAACTCCCAGCTGGACTTCCAGCTGTCAATGTAAATGGCCAAACCGGTTTAGCGGGTGTTTCTGAAAAAAACTACATGCACGACAGGAGACCAGAATCCAGAGAAAACGTGCACTGATTAAATAAATATTGGCAGCTTGAGGAGGAGGCTTTCTGCACCGTTTCAGACTGAGTTATTGATCCGACCAACAACGGGAACAGAAGTCCGTTTTCACAAATGTTTCATCCCGTCACCCTTTCCCAGATGTTAGAGGATCAGAGGACTGATAATGATTTAATTCAATTCAATTGAATTCAAGTTTATTTATATAGCGCCAAATCACGACAAGAGTCATCTCAAGGCACTTCACACTTCAAACACATATTTAATCTGATGAGTGACTCACAATAGATAAGCAGAAAACCACTCACACTGAAGTTGCTTAAGTTACAAGACGAGGCTCTACGTCAGAAAGGAGGAAATGCTCACTCATTTTCTTTATCTCGTGCTGAGTCCTGTCCTGGAAGTTTCTTTGATTGCATCACACTTCCTTCTCCTGTGTGTGCCAGCCAGCAGCTCCATGCACGCGCTGATTCTGCAAAGGGAGGCTGAACGAGGCAGGTGATTCCCCTCATCAAGCTGCTATAAGAGGCGAAAGGATGGAGACACAAAGGTACACGTTCACTGGGACTCTTCCTCCGCTGACACACACAGGTGAGTCTAAACACAGGTGTGTTTATGGGCCAGGATGGATTTGTGTGAGAAAAGTAATTTCTCTACTTTTTAACGTTATTTATGTAGTTTTTATTGAAAAACAGACTTTTATTTATTTATTTATTTATTATTTGTTTTTATTATTATTTATTTATTTATTATTTATTTTTATTTATTTGTTCATTTATTTATTTATTTAAAAGACATGATTATCTGAAAAGTTTGAACTAAACAGAATGTACCATTAGCTTCATCGCCAGGTAACTACGATGACCAGGATTGCCTCCTCCGCCTCCTCGCTCTTCCTTATCCTCATCATCCTTGGATGCGCAAGGGGGCTGGTGAGGGGACGAACTCTGCACGCAGATGGCTGCTCTGCCAACGTTCACACACACGAGCTGCGCAAATACTACTCTGACATCCAACTACACGCTGTGAGTTTAAATCACGGATCAGTTCATCTGACCCAGAATAGGATGATGTTCAAAACACCTCTAAAGATCCAAAACTAGGAAAAGCACGATAATAAATGTTGTGTTGGTTTTACCTGACAGATATCAGGAGACACTGAAATGGGAGTGAAGCTTCTGAATAAATCTATGCTCAAAGATGTTCAGGTAAAGCCTTTTGCGTGGGTTCGTACATCACTTTTACGTTATCTATCTACCTGATCTGAAGAGATCCAGCTCCATCAGAACGTAAACTCATGTGTGTGTGTGTATGCGCGCGTGTGTGTGTGTGTGTGTGTGTGTGTGTGTGTGTGTGTGTGTGTGTGTGTGTGTGTGTGTGTGTGTGTGTGTGTGTGTGTGTGTGTGTGTGTGTGTGTGTGTGTGTGTGTGTTTCTAGGAGGGTCAGACGTGCTGTTTTCTGCGTCTCCTACTACGTTTCTACATTGAGAGAGTTTTCATAAACTACAAGTCCTCTGAGCCTCACCAGCAACGCAGCTCCAGCGCCCTGGCCAATGCTTTTGTCAGCCTCAGAAGAGACATGCACAAATGTGTAAGTTGTTTCACTCATAATAGTTATTCACTGATAAGATGTGCCGAGAAGCATCCCCAAGTGTTGTTGCTTTGCTCTTTGCAGCACTGCAGCTGTGGAGAAGAAACCCAGAGAACAATTGACTCAGTGAGTTCTAGATTCGATGAGGTAAGTACAGGCTTTTACTCAACCAGTACTTTATTAATGCAGCTCAGTAATTACAAGACGCAACACAACATGAGCATCAGAATTACATGTAGCACTCTCCATGGATGAACAACACTATCTTTCTCCTGCACAGCTTCAGGTCCAGCAGGCGGCACTGAAAGCATTGGGAGAACTGGGCACAGTGCTAGGGTGGCTGGAAGAACTGGCACCAAACCCGTGATCATGATGCCGACCTGCACGGAGAACACAGACGTGTTCTTTTGTGCAGTTATGCTTGCCATTTTGCATTTCTGTCATGGTGCTGGAATTAACTTAAGACTCAGTGTGTGTGTGTGTGTGTGTGTGTGTGTGTGTGTGTGTGTGTGTGTGTGTGTGTGTGTGTGTGTGTGTGTGTGTGTGTGTGTGTGTGTGTGTGTGTGTCCTCTAACTTATGAAGTGCTTTTGAAGATATATTTATGGTTTTGTATTATAAAATGGTAATAAGGATTATTTTTCTATATTTAAATTGTGTTCAAAACTGAGTTGTAATAAAAATTCTAATGAACAGAACTCGTTTGTTCTGTTGAATTTCTTTTCAAAGATCTGTTGTCTATCACCATCTAGTGGTGCTGCCTGTCAGTGACACTAATAATAAAGAATAAATTACACTTGTACAGGTGAAACTGGAAAAACAAGAATAGGATTGAAAAGTCAATTTATTTCAGAAATCCAACTCAGACCGAGAGACCATCTAAAGGCTCAGGAACCCTTTGCAGGTGATTCACTAGCCGATTAGAGTGTGACACTTTGAGTCTAGAATATTGAACCTTTTCATAGCATTCTAACTGTCTGAGATTTTGAATGTGGGATCTTCATTAGTTGTAAGTCATTATCCAAATCATTATAACAAATAAAGGCTTCAGATATCTGACTTTGCCTGTAATGAGTCTAGTTCACATATTAGTTTCACCTTTTGAGAGTAATCACTGGCATATGAACCTTTGGACCATATTCTTATATTTCCAGTTTCAGCTGTATTGGTTTTCTAAGTAATAGGATGCCAAAGTGTTTTACACAATAGGCAGTCATTTATTCATTCACAAACTGAAAGGGACATATACTGTTTACTATCAAGTTGTTGGTAATTGAAAAAGTAGTTTGGGATTTTTTCAGAGCCCACTGTGTTTCTAATTCCCCATTAGCATTTTTAGCTCATTGTTGCTAGCCTTTTTCACACGATTAGAGTGAAACAAAAAGATGCCGTGAACTCTTACAGGTACAAGAAACAACTTCTGAGTTGCTCCTTACTGGCTTAGGATCTCTACAAAACACTGTTGCATTTTACAAATACCAACGGTGCAGCAGTGTTAGCTCAGCGTAGATTCAGCAAACTCGCAGGCTCATAGTTTATAAATAGTAGCAACATCCCTCCTAACATGTTGGTGGAGCTCGGTTCCGACTATCGGCTTGTGGAGCTCTCGGGAGACCGATGTTTTCCACCTGGTTCTCCCCTCCCCGCAGCTCAGCGTATCTCTGTCTGATCGCGGCTTCTGTCTGCTGTGCGGGCTGCCGGCTTGTGGAGCTCTGGGATGGAAACCTTTCCCTGGCTCTCCCCAGCGGCAGCTCTGCGCATCTCAGATCGCAGCGGCGCTTGTCTGCTGTGCGGCTGCCGGCTTGTGGAGCTCTCGGGAGACCTCTGTGTTCCACCCGGTTTTACCCAGCGGTCAGCCCGGCATATCTCTGACTCAGAAGCTCTGGTGTTGTGCACACTTAACTCCGGTTGTAGCTAGGTTGCTACCTCCATTAGTTTAGCTCCCATCTCCGCGTTAGCTTTGGGTTAGCTTGTAGCTAGTTCGACCGGGTGTCGTCAGTTGATCCCAGCCTTACAGCCACACCCTCAGCTCCACCTCTCTTCCCTTTTGTGGAATTGTCTGGGCTTGACGGAACCTGTGACACGGTCAAAATGGCAGTGGTGGCCACCTCCCAGTTATCTTCAAAAATGTGTTATTGGAACCATTGTCCAATATTTATATGTCGATGGCTGAGAAGGAAATCTGTTTCAACATAACTTCCTTCCAACATGACTGAGACATTAGACTGATTAGTGATTATTTCTCTGTAAAATTCTTACATGTTGTACCTTCATTACTAAACACATTTTCATCTTTTAAATTAATTCTAATTAACACAATAAGCCTTTATTTTAATATAAAATATTCTGCTGTACTGATGCATTCTGAACACATTGGTAAGCATTTAGATTTTAGTTGTTCTATGTAAAATAATTCTTTATTAAAAGAAGCTATGGGGAATAAAACAACAAACAGTTTCATTTAGAGATTATTACAAATAAATGTTATAAATTAGTATATCAGAAATTAAAGCATTCACCTTGTTTTCTCATTTGACCTCTGTCCAGCAGGTGGCAGCAGAGCATGTGTTGTTTGAAATATAATTCATCATTAGATAAATGCAGACTTGATTTACTTATCTCCTTTGTGCTGGTTTATGCGTTTTTGACTGTGGTGCAATGATCAGTCATACCAAAGGTTTGCAATAAATCACAGAGGGAGCGCACTTTCTCTCACGCAGCCCCAAAACTCTGGAACTCTCTGCCCCTCTAAGTACAGTACATTTGGCTCCTTCCCTCAGTAGGTTCAAGTTTGCATGCTTCTACAGCATGGCCTTCCCTTCATGGTCCTCTACATGAAAAATTGAACAAATCTTGGAGTCTGTCCTATCTGTGCTCCCTAGCACTGTTTTCCTTTTAGTTTATTATATTTTAGTTAATCTTTTGGTTGCACCATGCGATACGTCTTAGCCTTTTCTGTTTTATTGGTGTCTTTTTCAGCTGATTTGATTAGTTTTTTTCACTTAAATTTCATGGCTTAGATTTTTTGCATTTTGACTAATTCATTATTTTATGCCATGTTTCTGTTGTTGTGTCTGAGCCATTAGCTCGTTTAGTACAGCACTTTGGTTAGCTGCAATGCTGTTTTTAAACTGTGCTTTAGAAATAAATTGGTATGGTATGGTATGGTATGGTATGGTATGGTATGGTATGGTGTGGTATGGTATTGTATGGTATGGTATGGTATGGTGTGGTATGGTATGGTATGGTGTGGTGTGGTGTGGTGTGGTATGGTGTGGTGTGGTATGGTATGGTATGGTATGGTATGGTATTGTATGGTGTGGTGTGGTGTGGTGTGGTATGGTGTGGTATGGTGTGGTGTGGTGTGGTGTGGTGTGGTGTGGTGTGGTGTGGTATGGTATGGTATGGTATGGTGTGGTGTGGTGTGGTGTGGTGTGGTGTGGTGTGGTGTGGTGTGGTATGGTATGGTATGGTATGGTATGGTGTGGTATGGTATGGTATGGTGTGGTGTGGTGTGGTACGGTGCGGTGTGGTGTGGTATGGTATGGTATGGTATGGTATGGTATGGTATGGTATGGTATGGTATGGTACGGTATGGTATGGTATGGTATGGTATGGTATGGTGTGGTATGGTATGGTATGGTGTGGTGTGGTGTGGTACGGTGCGGTGTGGTGTGGTATGGTATGGTATGGTATGGTATGGTATGGTACGGTACGGTACGGTACGGTACCGTATGGTATGGTATGGTATGGTAAACTATAGCCTCTTTTCCATCGCCAGGTCTGGAACGGTCCGGTCTGGTTATTTTTTGACCGGTATGTTCTGGTATGGGTCTGGAATTTTCAGACGAGCGTTTCGATCGCAGTTTGTGCCATCACGTCGGCAGGCGGGGTTAAACGAACCATCATGCACAATTTTAAAAGTTGTGAAACTATTCAGTATGTCTTTGCTGCAATAACTGGTCTACAGAGGTCATGACAAAAACAAACTGCTTACCACAGCCTCCACATGTGACTCCAGAGTGCAGTCGCTAAGTCCAGAAGCCTGCCTCGGCTATAAATAGCATCCAGCGCGTCGTAGCAACTCCGTGTATTTCTCCCATCTGAAAAAAAAATCCACTCCGGCTGTTTCTGTCCTTAACTATTAGCTATATTGGGCTTTAATTTCTTCATCTTGGCCCGACACTGAGCCGACGTCCGCTCTGATCCTTCGGCTGCCATCCTCTGAGAAAAACACTACGATCCATCTAGCTCCTCCTGTGGACTCTCATGATGAAGGTGAGAAATGTATGGAACTCTGAAGGTTAACACTTGCTGCTATTTGCTGCAATTTTTTCACTTTTATGTTCAGCTAACAAAAATACAAACAACGGAACTCCATTAGTTCTCCTGTTTGCAAGAAGTGACGTATTTCTGTCAACCTATCAGTGGACTGTGTTGTTGCTCCACCCTTTCTGGACCAAGAACAGAAGGGAGACCAGAAAATCCCGTGACTGGTGCGGTCCGGGTCGGTTGTCTGGACCGGTTTTACAATCGGAACAGAAAAATTAGCGACCCGATCCTTCCCATTCCATGCCAGTTTGGGCGGTGGAAAAGACCTATATGTCTCATGTAGTTGCTGCATGTGAGCAAAGTGCAGGAATGAACTTTGCTGAGTTTGTGTCTAGAGTTATTAGAATGTTTGTGTTTGTTAAAATTACATGAAATATGACATAAGAAGCTGCTTCTCTATTGTGGCCCATCACTAATCAGCAATTTTGTGTTTCTTATCCCCTCAGCTCTCAGCGTCTACAACAGGATCGAGCTATTTAAGTGCTTCACCGTGTCCTACAGGTCTTAACAGATGAAGGACAAAAGCACTCATTAAATGAGAAACAAAAAACTCCTACATTCATTCAGTCAGATTAAAATCAGCTCTGATCATCTTACCTAACATGGCATTGTGAATCTCTTTCTGCACTAATGTTCTCCATTCCTAAACGTATCCTTTCAAGTGCTTGAAAGCAAAAGAAAGTTGCTATTTGTGATCTGTCATTTGTGAATCTATTTGAAGACACAAACGATTTCTGACTTTTGTTGTTAAAGAAATGATGAATAAAATGTTTCTGCCTTGCTTGACCGTTTTTTTTTCTCTCATAATTACTTCCAGCTCTAAGGAGATAAGCATATCATGCTAAATGGACGTACAAGTAGAGCAGGAGGCATGTTTGTCAAACATGTGCTCACTCAAAATCTTGGCATAAACTTTTGAAAAATCCATCAACAATGAAGTAGGTATGGAAGCATGCTGCACCATACAAACTTTGTGGACGCATTACTCATATTTCTACCATTAGTGTAAGTTGGGTGACACCTAGTGGGGATAATTGGTAAATGTTTGTGATGTATTAGTAATTATTGCTCACAGCCAAA